CATTATGAAAATTTCAATAAAATGAAAAATTAAGTTAATAAATTTTTTTTTGTTATAAACAAATTGTATTCTTTTAAATTTTTTAACACCATGTTATTGTACATAAGAAACCAACAACCTCGCTCATTAACAATTTTTTTGTATGTCTTTCCGTTTTCGAAATGGCCGTTTCGAGCCAAAACTTCAAGGGGTGTTTTCACCCCTTAAACTCGAGTTACCGCAGCTATAAAAAAATACGTGTCGATTATTTTTGGCTGCTTTATAAGTGTACAAAGTTTCATCAAAATCGAAGCCGGACCGTTCGCGATGGTTCCTTGTCAGTCTTTTCTCCTCTCGGTCTAAACATTCGAACGTGGTGCATAATTCAGAGCCAGCTGTGTAGCTGTGATAGCCAACTGTAAAGTTTAGGAAACATTTATTCCGATCGCGAGAGCCTTAAATCCCGTACGAATAAAATGTTTATCTCTTATCCGTCATCCGAGTGAAATGTTGCCTCCGTGGCGGAACAAGTTCACGTCAGACGGACTATAGCGTTTGAGTAGGTGGTCCACAATTGCTTGAGAGCAGCGTTAGCAACAATGTTTCGCCGGGGCGGGCTCGGAATCGCGCAACTAAATTGGGAAACTTCATGGATCTACGAGAATACGAACGTTTAAATTAACGACGCCGACCGAGCCCGGTTCTTCTTTGAGATATATAGGAATAGAGAGCCGTTGGGTGAGGTTTAATTTCCTTTTCTTTGGCCGTAATCTACGAAGAAACGACACCGTTGTTTCGTTCGTAGTTGCGCCGTACCTCCTGGCGCCGGTTCTGTTTTATTAGGCAGTTTCTCAAAGAACTAGCTTGCGAAACAGAGTCGAAGGCGAAGCTTTCCCCGCGATGGGGCGGAATCTACGGGTTTTCCCGGCGAGGCGCGTACAGCGCGAATCGTAAAACCGATAAAGTGTTGTTTAATTGGTTGTTCCGCCGATAAACCGGCGGCGAACGGTTTGATTAATTAATACCCACCGTCGAGGGGCAAGTTTATCGTCCGGTATCGCCGTCGATATTATATTTTAATTTAGAAATATATTCATACCGTTTGTAAGCGAATATTTTGTCGCGCAAATAAACCGCTAATTAACGCTCGACGGCGGTTGTTTAATAATTAACCCGGCGAGCCTCAAATAATTATTCGAATCTACTGTATCACAGCGTATCACGCAAACGTTTCCCCCTCGGGGGACGAATTGTTTCGATTATGAAATGACCGATTGCTGGCGTCGTAATTCACTCGACTTAACCAATGTCACCAACCGTTTGGATACCTCGCCGCGTAAACTATTTTATTCGAAACGGAGTGCTTTGTTCAACGGATGAATTTTTTACGGGGGAAAAAATGCTACGAGATTGAGACGTTTAAGAAGCAGGAATCCACTAAGGGATAACGCGGAGCATAAAGTATCCAAATAACGCAAAAGGAATTTCTTGCGAGCGTCGATAAATATGTAGCTTCGCGCGCTTTCAAGTCGAGCGAATTGGATTCCTTTTGCCTTTGATCCAAAGCACACGGATACTGTCAGCTTTACAACATCGAGGGGGGGGAAATTTCACCGTCTCTGGCGCACCTTTTGTTTTTATTTTCGTGCGCTTTTATCCGCCACGGGGGCCACTTCGTTTCTCCTGTTTGCGTTTGTCCAACAAGCTCGCGTGCGCTCTTTTCTAACGTTCGATCCGAAGTTGCGCGCTACGGAGCCGGGGCAGAGCCTGGACAAAAGGACGTCGTTAGAGGCAAAACGGGAGGGTGTACCTCGAGGAATTTCAATTCGCCGTTCGCTCGAATCGAATCACACGGTTGGGGACACTTGGCGTCGCGACGACCGAACTAAAAAATTCCTTTATCAGCGCGAAACTTGTCCCCCTCTGTGTTTATTGACTCCCGAAGGGTTGCAATTTTATTGCCGTTGCGCTTTTCCTAGAAGCTCGCTTTAATATTGCAAACTCAGGACTCGCGCGAGCGTGTAACGCGACCGAACTGACCCACGAGAGTCGTTTCCTGTTTCCCGTTTCTTCTGCACCGCGAGCCACGCGAAAATTGAGCACGTAGGAGGCTTCGAGGCGTCGCTGGTGTATGAAAACGTGTCTTTGAATAGTATCTGACGCTTGGACGCCTCGCGACACAAATTAATGCCCTTTTGGAGCTTCCATCTTTGAGTTAACTGGATCCAATCGAACCAGAACTTCGACTGTTGTAATTTTAATGCATCTTTGGCCCATCCGACACCTTCTGCTCGATTCTACGATCTTCAGATTTATTTGAGATGAGATCACGATCCGTTTATATCGAGAAATCCGTGAGAAATATAGAAAACGCAATACTTTGGTCGTAAATTCGCGGAACGTATCGAGTCGAGGGAAGAGCGTAAGTTTTCGCGGGGCGTTTACAAGTTGTCGGCCGCATGGAAATCCCAACGGCGGGCGAACCCCATGGAAAAGTTTGCGGTGGCGTGTTTAACGTTCAATCCCCGTTGCAGACGGTTCGCATTAGCGGGCCGTGGCTTATCGCGGTAAATGCCGCGCTCGTAAATCTGATCGCGTTTACACGCCGCGCCCAGCGGCGAGTTTACGCTACTCCGAGCGTCGTTTGTATTACAGCTCGAGGCCTGTTCACGAAACCAGGCGACGATTCGCGATTAAGGATCGCTTATCGTACGCGTTACCATTCCGCGGAGAGACTACCAACGAGCAATGGCCGCCCGCTAGTCTATTTTCGAATCACCCCGTTACGAGCTAAACCCCAACTTGTAGGAGCAGAGTTTATTTGGAATACGCCATTCCCCTTTGCTAATAGAGAAAATAATTAGACGTTATTACTTAAATTAAAAATATTCGAAACGATTTCCATGCGCCACGTATCCATAAAAATGGACCTTCTCGAGACGTAAAAGGAACGTAGCCCCCGGTTTAAGATTGGACATTGTCTAGGATCGTAGGAGTCTGTGGGAATTTCTCGGGGCGATTCCGTTCCGAAGGTTGAAAAATGTTGCTACCTTAAGATGGCGCGATAATTAACCGGTGAGATTTATGGACACTCTTTTGGATAGTTCACGATGGTTTATCGTTATTGCAGTTTCGGGATCGTATTGGCTCCGTTCGTCTTCCCCTTGACTTACAGCGCTGTTTGCCGTTAACTACTTTCCTACTGGGTTCATTGTCTCCGGAGGTCTATCCGTCTTATCGAAGCTCGGTTCGCGTCGTTTGATCTAACAGCGGGAGAGTCGAAAACGTCGTCGTTTAACGGTACCGGGGTGGAACCTTCACGCAACGTCTTTTGCATAGGAATCACCCGTGGAAAGCGTGCGTTCAATTACGCGAGAAGATCCGCGGCGATAACGAGAGTGTGAAGAATAATTTGTTGGAACGAGCGCTCCCGGGATCTGGGCCGGCCGCGTTAAATTCAATCATTCGGAAAACAGGAAAGAAAAGGAAAACACGGACGGCCAGTGTATCGAGTGTAAATCCCGTGCAGATTTCCCCCTCGTTGAAATCTAGTAGCCACGTTTCCAGGTTAATTATTACGGTTAAACCTCGATTATCGGAATACCGATTAACCGAACGTCGATTCGGGTTGGCTGGTAACGTTTGAAAGTCCTGTTTGTTGAACTTTGCCCTTTCATTCTGATCCCCGGGGCACTTGCTCTCATCTACTTTACCCTTTTCCGTTTCTATTTGGCGAATAAGCTCGTTAAATACGTAATTAAATAACGGTGTCCAACCGGAACGGAAAGACACAGGTAATGTTTTCATTTCTTTCGTGCTCGATCACCCCGTGAATATTTATTTTCTGATTATACAAATCATCGAGGAGGGGTTTAAAACTTGTGCTTTCCCAGCTTATTTTAGATCATGCTTAGCATATAATAGCGCAGATAAAGCATAGCTGGCGTAAACGTGGCCCGGGGTCGACACCTTTAAGGCGAATAAAGTTAAATTACGCTTCCGTGGCTTGGGGGGAAAAGTTGCTTATTAGTTCTCGTTAGAAATTTCACGGTAGACACACGTACGGTTCGTGGTGTCTTGTAAATTCGACGTGGAAGAAAATTCTATTACGTAGATCGTTCGATCGCGGAAGAATACGTTCCCGTTTGACGCGGCTGCGTGCTTCGTGTTCATTTGTCGAATAGACCGAACAGCCCGTAATTGCGCGGCCATTCCCTCTGCGTTCGGCGAGAAATAGTGGACAAGGTGGAAAATATGAGGGAAACTGAGGTAACTCGTGCCTCAGGGAACGGAAAAAGAGAACCGCGATCCACGCGCCTACAGGTCGCCCTAAAATCGACGGTCCAAACTCTGGAAACACGTAACGTTGCTAGAAGCAACAACAGATCCATAGTATTCGAGTTACTGTTTTCGAGATTCACCGCTCCGAGAACTCGGATTGTTCGACGGGGGCTTTAATTGCACAGCTGTTGGGTCACTCGAGTCGATCATAAATCAAGGAGGAGGTGATTGCGCCCATCGTGTCGGACCATCGATTTTAGCCGACTCTGTATACATATACAGGATGTTACTTCGTGTTTCTACCTTGTATGCGACTTTGATAAAGTGGATAAGAGAACAATTTCGAAGCCAGAGACGTTGTCGCAATTGAAGGCGAACGGAGGACAATATTTTTATTATTAAATTCAAATATACCTCCGGTGAGAAGACGACGCTGGAGAACTGGAAGTCTCGACGAGCATACGGGTGGAATGCATTTACCGTGCTACTTCGCGTACTTCTTACGCTGTAAATTTAGAGTTATTGCTGTTAATGTTTGCCTACGGATTTACACCTTGTACGTGCATTTGGTAGGCCATTACGTTGCGCCAGCAGGTGTTCCAACGTTCCGCCAACATTTTATTGCTCAATTTTCTTGTATACAAAGAACAAGAATATAAATCTAAAACTGGGATGGACTGGGGGGGACTGCCTCGTTGATGTATCAGAACTGTTCTAATAAATTCTTTCGCGTGTTTCAGGATACACGAGCGGACGATAGCGAGGACCTTCGAAAATTCTAAAGTGGGCATGCGTATCGAAGATCGGTCTCAAGCTGTACACCGATGACGCAGGGTGAGTGTCGCGGGAACAAAAATGGCCTCCCATCGTCGTCGATTTTCATTCACGAACGACTTAAAAATTAGCGTTGGTCGTTTGCGCGGGAAGGTAGAGAGCGAATTGAAAATGGTCGCGCGAAGGTTCGCCGGCGTTACCATAAATGGCGGCGTCCGGCGCGGGCCATCGAGCACGTTTCTCAAACCATTAGGTGAAAGGCCCTCCTCTCGGTGTCTCTTTTGTGCCCTTCTCATCGGCCCGTGTCTCTTTTCTCATTAAGTTGATTGCCCCGATACTTCTCGCGGCGGTAACAAACCTCTCGCGTGTTTCCTGCTTCGTACGCGGAGTGCGTCCTCCCGCGTGGAACATGAAAAATGGCCCAATTAATTACCTCCCCCCACCAACCCCTACCCTCGCCACTATCCGCGCGGACGCCGCGATTATTGTACCGTTAATTGCTTCCGCGACCTCGAGTCGTCGTGTTATTGTAAATTTTAATTGCACTTTCCCGACGAAACGCTTGTTTCCGCCGGGGACGTAAGAGCAAATGGAAGTTATCGCGGCAGAATGCGCGTTCGGAGAACACTCCGGTTACGAAATTAGTTGGAGCACGGAAGCGTCTGCACGGCGCGAGCCATTTTAACGATGCGTTTATAGTCGGCGGCGAAAAGGACCACCGTGCAATTTCGAGGCGAGCATCGAGCTCGAAGATGCCCGCGGAAACTTTCGGAAAATACCGTTTCCGTTCTCTCGATCGTCGGGGAATTTGACGTTTGAATATTCAAACGAGGAACGAATAACGCGACGGAAACGTCGATGCTTTTTACCCCCGCGAACGCGCGGCTAGGTTATTCGGTAATGGAATATAGAAATCCGATGAAAAAGTTCGGTAACTGGAGATTCGTATATTGCGTTTTTATCGACTGTATATTTCAGTAGTCGAACGCGAAGCGTCCGACTATGAACGTTAAATGAAAAATTTTTGCTTCCACCGTTCCTTTTTTCTGTTTTTTTATTCCGGCGAAGTTCTAAACGGCACGATGGTACGTAAATAATTGAAGTCCGCGCCGCCGCGCTGTGTTAAAAATTTTATCCAACGAATCCCGCCGCGCGCGGAGAGAAAGGACTAATGAAAAGTCCCGGACGGTAGGCTTTGATGTTGAAACTATGCGCATAACGCATCGGTGAACCATCGGAAACAGAACCCACGTAATTACGCGAAAAATTCTATTATACTTTCCTCCAACCACGTCGAATTTTTGCTGTTTAACGAAGCTGTACCATTGATAAAAACTCCAGAGTATTCCGTGACTCTTTTTAATTTCCAGATTTACACACTTTTCCGAACACGTTTCTTGACAAATTATTTATTCTATTTCTTTTTTTTTTTTCACGCACGCGAAAGATCGCGCGATGGTTGCAGAGGGGTCGATTGCGTTTCCACGGCCGTCTGGGGTTCATTCGAACGTTTTGAAAAGCCGGGAAATTTGCCGTGCTTCGGGAGATCGTTGTATTGTTTAACGCGAGCGAGAAAAAATACAGTCTGTAAGCAGAGTGTCGTTGCGCAAGAGTGTTTCATCAGTGCCCGGAGATCCTCTATGCTCGTTCCAGCCGTGACTCCCTTTGTTTGCGTTGCAACTGTCTCCTTGAAAAAGCCGTCGCCTTCTTTTTAACCTCAGGCTGAAGAATGTAATAAAACGAAGGAGATTCTTTCTCTTTAAATCGCGCGTTTAAAAATCCTCTTTTACGTTCGTTACGCGAGAAATTGGATTCATGCGGAACAGGGAGAAATAAAAGGATTTCTACTCGTTTATTATACCGGGGAACATGCACCGAGAGATATACAAAGAAATACGGGCACCTCCGTTCCGTCTTTCGAACAGTAAAATACTATATAGTCATCGATTTTTCTATTAACTATTTCCACCTTCGTTGTACATTGTCGATTCTTCGAGAAGAGCTCAGACACTTTCGTAAGAACATTAAAAGAAAAATTGAGTTTTCGAAACGTGTTCGAAGCAGTTTCGATTCCTTCTGGAGGAAATGAAATAGGGGTTGCGCTGCCCGATCGATTTAATCACGCGTCGACGAAGATCGAATTCCAAGCCAAGAAGATTTCTTTCCAACGAGATAACCCCCAAGAACTTCCGGGGCTGGCGGCAAATAGATTTTTCGGCGGTCTTTTTATTTTCGAAACGCGGGATTCTTCCAATCTCGCGCGGCTGATTTTTGCGCGCTTTTCTAAAATTCCATTTATCCGTGGCGGCGCGGAACCGCGCTCATCCAGCTCCACCCCTCTCGGTAATTCGAACTGCAATTTTCGTTTTTCCGTTTTCCCCTCGATGTGTTCGCGGTAGAAACGCGTCTCGATGGGAAATTCCCCTCGGAAAATTCGGTGCTGTCTTCGAATTCACGGTTGCTCCTCAACCTTTCCGTCTCCCCGTTTCTCGAACTCGTATTTAATCCAGTTATTATCGACTGCATAAAGCCGAGAGGCGAAAATATAGAATCGATCCATTGTCCGTGATATATCATGCTTCTGTCTCGCAACCGGAAGCACGCGCCGAACCACTCCGCAGTCGGTTGACGGACAAAGGTGTCGAGACGGAGAATATTCCTCAACGAGTCTTCCCAAGTCCGTTCTTTCGTCGATGCTCCTAGGCAGTTCCATTTCTATCCGAATGGATTCGATTCCAATTTCTCGCACGATGTTCCTCTTTCGATCTACCGTGTGCATTTTGGTTCCATCGACGAAAACGCACGTCGGACGCCCTCGAGGGGGTTTTGAACGGTGCATTACCGGTGGCAGTCGGGGGTAATAAGGGGCGCGAATTCAATAACTTCCGTGGCCGGAGAAGCGTCGCTGCGAAAGAAGAACCAGGAAGGACGTTTGGCGCGAATTCCAACAGTCGTTCGAACCTCGAAGCCCGGCAGATTGGTCCCGGTGGCGTTGGTATATTGGAGCAGCCGGAATTCCGGATCGATATTATCAAAGGGACGTGATAAATGATCGAGGAACACGCTGGAGAAAGGGTGACTGCTAACGGTCCCGGAAAATGGGATATTCTTTTTCACCTGGGAGGACCCTTCCGCTCGACTTCCGCGACGAAATTGAAACGCTGAAAGGAGTCGCGGACTTCTCGGGGCAAAAGGAGAAAAGATGGCGACGGATTAAGTTCGAGAGAACCCACGTTCCAAGTGAATTTTAACAAAATACTTGATATTTCAATGGCGTAGAATATGAAATTACAGTTTTTTGGCTGTTCGAAGTAGAATGCCTCCTTAAATGGAAGCAAATAAATCGGTCGTCGATCTTCTCGAGACGTTTCTCCTCTCAATTTCGCAGCCTCTTCGCGCGGCTCTGGTTTCCAAAACGCCGAAAGGAATTCTCAGAGTAATTAAGCGGCTGACGTCTTTCGCAGCATCTGTTTTCACTTGGCAAATAGAAACAGTTCGTTACCGTCTCTCTATCTTCCTCAAAGTGCGAAACGTGGCACTTATCACCGAAATTATGCTATCAGAAGCGCACTCGACCGAATTGTAAACGTTTTATCAATCTTCTGAAAGTAAAAATAACAATACTTCCTGTTTCCGTGCGAGTGCCCGAAGTAGAGCAGGTGTCGAGGTTCTTTATTGGCTCCTAACTTTTCCACGAAACGAGGAAAAGGATTGGGCGAGGCTGAGTCGTGGAAGAACCGATCTCCAGGGTATCCAAGTCCCCGGAACACCTACCGATCTTCCCTCCCAGACGGTTTTTTCACCCCCTTTCCCGAATATCTCGAGGAAACCGAGGACGTGGAGGAGGAGGAAGTTTCGACCTTTTGTCCCCTCGCGACGCTTTTGTTTAGCACGGCGTAAAGTCGGTCCACTTATCCGTAAACTTTAAATGCCCCCTCATCGTTCCACCCTTTTCCGGGGGATAAATTTCACCGTCCACCCCGCGTGGCTCTTTTCCGCCGCTAGTCTTGACCCGGTTGACGAACCAGGAACACGCGCTGGTCGCGGATAAATTTGCGATAGTAATTCCAAAGCTGTCGGTCCGTGCAATCGAACCAGTCGATCGGCCATCCCGACCCTCTCCAGTCGACTTTGAAACCTGCAAACCGGGTGAGTCGCAATTCGGGGCCCACTTGAAACATTAACCATCCAAATATCTGATTATCACATTAAATAAAAATATTGGCTTCAAGCTAACAATTACAATCTGTGATATCTAATACGAACGACCAGTTAACGAATGAGATTTCGTGATCCTTGACGCGTGTTTATTCGTCAAATATGTACAAACGTGTAGCGTCGATCCCCGAAGATATTAGCAAACACCAACAGGAACGCCGAGTTCATTTAGCGCGGTAAATCAAAGTAGTTGGCCGAAAGAGCGAAAAGCAGAGAATAGTTCGATCCGGAGTTCGTTCATTTCGACGGCAGGTGTCCCGATTCGGGTTCGTTTGTCAACGGTGTTGGCTTAAACTGAGATTGGCTCGTCCGTCAAAGGACCGTCGACGCTCTGTTTATCGTCGATCAGCTTTGAGGCAGTGGATCGTACACGGCAAACGGATTATTCGGCCGCTTTCAAAACGTAACTGTTTGAACTAGCAGTTTGACTCTTTCATTATCGCTCGCGAGATATCTCGTCTAGCGACAATGTTACTCGCGCGACGCAATTTCATTACTCGGTACCGAACGAAATAATTTCCCACGCTAACGTTTCCCCGTTCATCAAATCCTAATTTACGAAGTATCCCTCAAGATCGCTCGGTCGTTGAACTCGTCCTCTCCGTCAACACTGGCTCTCCAATTTTAAAATAATTACAATTATTATTTCGCTATATATCACGAGAAATATTTCGTTTCCCCCAAAAGATCGATATGCGCTCTAAGGCGAAAAGTAGGGTACCTAACCGTGAATTGATCCTCGTTCTAAAAAGGTCGGGCAAAACCGGAGCTGTTTCATCGCTGAAGGCAGACAGGGACAACTCCGTTTCGAGAACACGCGAATAGGATTGAAATAAACCAGA